CAGCCTCTCCCCCACAATGACAAGTCCCGAATCATCACCAATCCCATCTCCCCCACCATTACCCAACAGGCACCCCATGACCACTCGTGCACGAAGTGGTATCTTCAAACCTAAACTCTACTCCACCTCCTCTACCTCTTCTCCACCCACCACAGAGCCTGTTACCTATAAAGATGCCTCCCAAAACAGTTATTGGTGTCAAGTTATGGATGATGAGTATAAAGCCTTGATTGATCAGCAAACATGGGAGCTTGTTCCGGCACCTTCAGATCGGGTTCCTATTGGATGTAAGTGGATTTATAAAATTAAGCATAACTCTGATCACTACAAAAAAAACGCGGAATTGGCACGACTTTTGGCACAGATTATAGTTTTAGTTTCCCGTGGCTATGCTATTAGGCACGGAATTTGGCACGGATACGAAACGCTGCCAATTTCGAAGCTCCAAACTGTTTGGCACGGAATCCTAGTCCGTGCCAACGATAGAGACGGCGTCGCTTGTAACAAATTCGTTCCAAAGTAACGGTTGTAAGAATAACGTTAAAGATATTAGGCACGGCTCTGTCCGTGGCAATCTCCCGTTCGTATTTAGGCACGACTAAACCACGAATTTTTTTGTCCTGATAGCATTTACAAAATATTGTAATAGGCACGGTACGTATCTGTGCCAAACATGCCACGTAGATATCCGTGCCTTAATTTTGAAACTTTTCAAAAAATTCAAAAAATTTCAAAATTTTCAAATACGCGGGCAGAATATATTTTGAAATTCAATTTTTTGTCACGGCCATATCCGTGCCTTTATTTTGGAAATTTTCAAAATATTCAAAAAAAATCAAAATTTTCAAATACGCGGGGGATTAAATTTCGAAATTCAAATATTTTGTCACTGCCATATCCGTGCCTTGGATTTCAAAAAAAATAAAAAAAATTATTTTGTCACGGATTTATCCGTGCCTTAGTTTTTGAAAAAATAAAAAATACAAATTCGAAATTAAAAAAATAATACATAACATGCCATAATTCAAATACGTAATAAATCACTCGCAGCATAATAAAGTAAAAATAAAAGTAATGACCAAAATGAAAGTAATGTCTAGCATCCAAACGAAGATCACACACAAATGGTAATGAATAATTACTGATTTTCATTGTTTAGAAAACTGTTAACATCACAGTAATTTGAATTCTGTCCCCCCGATTGAACGTTTGGCATTTAGGGGAGGACCGTAGGTTGTTGAAAAACAGGCACAGGAGACATCAAGGGCTGCGAGGCACAATAATAAGAAGGGGTCAGCTGTTGATGAAGCAAAGGGCTTGGACTTCGAGGGGGCTGCACTGTCGGACGAAGAACCTGGAAACTGAGGCCATGTGTCAAATAATTGACCGACTCTTTCAATCCCTGAAATTGACTTAACAAATCATGGGATTGAGCCTGATATTTCTTCTCTAAATCGGCACTTTTTTCCTGAAATTTTGCTTCAAATTTTTTCTCCAATTTCAGCTCCAATTCGGTCTTCAGCCGGGCAGCGTAGTCTTCGTGACTAGTGCCTCCCGAGGAAAGTGATTCCGAGGATCCAGCTTCACAGCCCCGCCCGAAGACCTGGTTCTTGTTGTTCCCCACCACCTCGACGTACAACCCAAGGTCATCTTCTAGTTCTTCCTCAGCAACATCATCAAGACTTATAGAATTGGACCCCGATCTGGATGCGGCTTACTTCTTTAGAAGGAGCTTCTCCTTGTAGTCTTTCTACATAAATCACAATTTAAAGAACTAATTAAAATGTGATTAATTTTTTTTTGTAAACAATATTTACTAATTGCAATTCAAATAATTAAATAACCTTGATTTTAGCAACTTCTTGAGACGGCTGGGAACCCTTCTTCACAAACAAGCGGTTAATGACCTTGAGTTGATTTGGAACGACTTTGTCCTCTTGCTCCTATTCACAATTAAATTGAAAGAAAAAACTGACATAAGTAAGTAAAGACTACAGAAAAACACTTACCATCTTCTTGATGTGCTCGCTCACGGAACGATGCCCCCCATAATATTGCCTTTGCTTTGCCTTCTCCGTGTTTCGGTTTTTGCTCGACCTCACGCTCTTTGCTCGAAAATCCGGACTTGCCCAATACTTAACCATCGTTTCCCAGTGATCTTCTCCAACAAAACTCGGCTTCTTATTTTTGTTTCGTGCATTCATGAACCTATTCGTCAACCATACGGACCCACGGGTGTTAAAGGTGCTCCTCATGATTTTTTCAGTGTCCGCCGGGTATACCCCAGGCAACCAGGTGTAACGAAGCTATAAAGTCATAAAATTAAATTAGTATTAGAATAAATCATCTAAGTGTATTTCTAAAAAAATGAAATACTTACACGAAACAGGTTCCACCATCGCTGACGAACTTCCTTGGGGGCGGTTGTGTAGGTATGCCACGGCCCATGAAAACTTTCTTTGATTATGCCTTTAATTGTGTTTAGGACAGCTTGTTCGCTGGAAAAAAAATTAAAAACTTAAATCATCATACAAATAACAAATGAGATAATAAAATGCAAAAAATTACCCCTTCAATTCGGCCTTAGTGATCAAGCGCGGAAGATCCCCGTACGGCACTGCACTAGCCTCCGTTGAAACTCCATCTCCTCCTTCGCCGCCTCCTCCGCCCTTGCTTTCGACCTCAGCCTCCAAGTCGCCACCGGCATTAAATATAGACTGCGTGGTAGTGGTAGATGGCGATTCCGGTAGTGCTCGAGAGTGAGAACGCTGAAAGCTTCCCCTACCGCGAATGCTATCGCGGAAGGCAGTGCTCCTTGTTGAAAACATTGATAGGAGAAGGGGTTGTAAGGGAGGAGGGCGGAGGAGTGACGACTTAGGAGAAAGAGAATAGGAGGAGGAGAGTGGTTAATGAAAAAAACGAGAAAAAACGTGTAAGGGGTGGTAATATACTTAACCTTTAGGCACGCCGTTCGGCACGTCCCCATCCATGCCTACACCGAGCAGTAAATACGCGACATTTTGATAATTAATTAGGCACGGCCTTGTCCGTGCCAAACAAATTCAACTCTTCGGTTTTTGGGGCTGCATTAATAGCCTCTGCAACTTTGTCAGTCTTTTTTATTGAAACGATTGTAGGCACGTCCCCATCCGTGCCTACACCGAGCAGTAAATACGCGACATTTTGGTAATTAAGTAGGCACGGCCTTGTCCGTGCCAAAAAAATTCAACTCTTCGGTTTTTGGGGCTACAGTAATAGCCTCTGCAACTTTGGCCGTCTTTTTTATCGGAACGATTGTAGGCACGGCCACACCCGTGCCTAAGGGTGTGCAATAATTACTAAATGTTTGGGTTATTGCATAGGGACTCCCGTATCCGTGCCAAAAATATATCTCTGTAATTGTGTCAGGCTTTTTGTCTTGTAACGCTTATTGGCACGGCTATAGCCGTGCCTAACGTCAAACCATAATTATTGCAAGTTGGATAAAGGTATAGGCACGGCTATTTCTGTGAGTACACCGCTGTATAGCTTACCGTGCCTGCATGGGTTTTATCAACTTAAATTCCTACGAAAAAAGGAAAATATTTAGTTATACTCTTCGGTCCTTAAAAGATTGTCATAGTTTGATTTTTGTGTAATTATGACATTTTTATCACGAATTTAATTTTTTTTAAAGTTTTAAATATTACAAAAATTTAATATTTCAAAACTTTATTTTAAAGTAAATCTAATTTTATTAAATTTATATTATAAGTAAATATACTATTTCCATAATTTATGGTGAAAAAGAGTCTTTTAAGAACGGAGAAAATATTAAAATACAAACAGTAGCATATGAAAATAGGAAACTTGCAATTTGAAATATTAGTCAGAGAATAGCATATAAAAATCCAATGAAAAGAAGTACGGAAATTACATCATTCACTCTCATAATCATCATCAATATAAACTTTGTCTTCTTCAGTATCTTCACCATAAATCCATTCCTCTTCTTCGAAATCGTTAAGTAATTCTTCCACCTGAATTTCACCCCATTAGTATCTTGCAAAAAGACACCAGCTTGAGTTGTTTCAACAATTGGGGGCGGTTGAAAAAATTCTTGTTGAAATGCTTCAAAATCAACTTCTCTCACAGTTGCATGAGTAATGATTTTTCGTGGTCGAATGGAACACGCACAAAGCCAGGGAGATGCACGTTGACAAGTCGATGGATACTTGGCATAGTAAACTTGTGCACCTTGTTGTGCCAGAATAAATGGTTCATTTTTCCGATATATCTTTGATTCATTAACATCAACAATATTAAACTTAGGATGCTTTCTCACACCATGTATTGGGTCAATCCAAGTGCATTGAAAAAAAACAACTTTAAATTCCTTTGACCCCGCAAATGTGAACTCAAGTATATCATCAAGAGTGCCATAAAAATTAGTTTCGCTATTGTCGTAACTACATGTCGGGACACAGATGCCACTGTTCATTGATTGACGACCCTCTCCATAACTCAAGGTGTGGTAATTATAACCATTCACAAAATATCCAGGATATGTTTTAACCTGGCTTGAAGGACCCCATGCTAACGATTCAAAAAACCAATCATAAGTTCCAGGCGCTGCACTAGTTATCTGCATATGGTAACACATGGAATGAGATCTTTGTGGAAAAATATAATAATTAAGAGGAATTCAGTTATATTTTTTAATAAAAACACCTTTTCTTTGAACCACTCTGCGAACTTTGAATCAACTAAAAGATCCACACCCTCTTGTGAGTAAGCAAATAGACTATCCCGAAATTCACTACAATTAATAAATGCATTAGTAGTAGCGGGCGTGCATTTAATTAACAACACAGAAGGAGTCGTTTTGAAAATATCTTACCAATAAAATGGCTCCACCTCCGGATAATTAATAAGAATGTAGATGTGCGCGATGCGGTATAAATCTCATGTTATGTATCGCAACGCATGTTTAGTATACCCACGACCGGGGTAGTTAAAAATCGAAAATGAATCAGAACCATATCCAACATCGTCATTCCTCGCAGGTCTTTTACGCCTAGAAACTACACCACTCTCGAAGTAATAAGATGCAAATGTTGCAATCTCCTGCGTTATGTATGCCTGGCAAATTGAGGCCACTACATGTGCTTTATTTGTGACCTTTTTCTTTAACTCTCCTAATTTCCTACAAATGTAGAAGAAAAATTAAACAATTTCATATAATTACTAATGTAGTATTAATAATCATAGAAAATAAATTATTTCATATAATTATTATACTAACCTCTCGAAACAATACATCCATCTATAAAAAACAGGGCCAGCCACCTTGGTTTCATATGGAAGATGAATCAGAAGATGTTCCATGGAGTCAAAAAATGACGGTGGAAAAACCTTTTCCAAGTTGCACATTATCAATGGTATGTTGCGCTCTAAGTCTTCAAGACCGCCAACATTAAGCACCGTGGAACATATACACTGAAATAATTGGCTAACCTCAGTAATAGAATTCCAAACTGATTCAGGAATCATTTCTTTGAGAGTAATGGGGAGTAACCTTTGCATGATAACATGACAGTCATGACTTTTCATATATCGCATTCTCAAATTAGCAATGCCCACGCAATTTCCTAAATTTGATGTGTACCCGTCTGGAAATCGAAGCGCTGATATCCATTCTAATATTTTCCTCTTTTGATCAGTGCTCAACTGGTATATTGCTTTCACGACCGGACCGTCGCTATCTGGTGCAACAGCAATTTCAGGTCTATCGCAATACAACCATACATCCTTCCTAGAGTTGAGGCCATCTTTTGTCTTATTTGGGAAATTCATCACTGTGTTGAATATGTTATCAAAGACATTCTTCTCAATATGCATGACATCCAAATTATGGCGTATTAGTAAATCCTTCCAATATGGTAGGTCCCAAAATATACTCTTCTTCGTCCACTTATGATATGTACCATATCCAATAGGGTCGTTTATTGGATTCTCTACAGCAGTATCAAATTCACGCACTCTCTCAAATATCTGTGATCCGTCTAAAGTAGGTGGTGGTGAACTGCAATTATTGCAATGTGAACTACTTCCAACTACTTTATAGTACAAAAACTTTATATTCCCTCCGTCCCAAAATATAAGCAACATTACGCTAAACGAAGTAATTTTTTGAAATTTTTCAATCCATTTTATTTAAAGAATGATCTACAAATAAAAAAATTACATATTTAAAAACTACGTCAAAAGTTCTACAAAACAAGTGGTGACAAGAATATTTTATTCTATCAAATAATCAATGAAAATGCAAAAATAAATAAAAGTTCCTGTGTTTTTTAAATAGTGGAGTGTTGCTTATATTTTAGGACGGAGGGAGTAGAAAACTTTAGTACAAAAACTTTAGGATGAAGTTGTTTTATTTGGATAAGTACGATAGATGTAGATATTTTACTTGGATAAGTTTTTATAATTTTCTATTATTGTAGTTCTTTCTTTATTTCATCTTAAAAAAAGTTGTATCATGTACTTTTCTCTAATTTTAGTCTTGTTATCTTCCGATTTTAATATATTTAAAAGATAAAAGTTTTTTTTGTTATGAGTATGATTTAAATGTTTAAATAAATAAAATTATGTACTACGGAGAGTGGCACGGATTTAGGCACGGGTATTTCCATGACAAAACATCCTTGTCCTTTTCGATTTTGAATTTTATGAGAAAGGTAAGGAATTGGAACGACTAAATCCGTGCATATTAGTTAGAATAAATGCCGTCCGACAACACCGTTAACGTCTTAACGTTTACGCTATTGGCACGGAATTAGGTACGGACAAATGCAGAGCCAAATTAAAACACA